TCCCGTGGGAGGGCAGGAGACCCCAGTGGGCAGTGAGTGAGCCGGCCTCACTGTCCTTGGGGTGGGGTAACAGGCAGGGAAATGGGGTGAGGTTAAAGCTGGTGTCAAGCGCCATATCGGGAGTGTGGGGTGCTGGTGGGGCGTGGGGTGCATGGTGTGGGGCTCTGTGTGGGTTGTGGGCACAGGGTTCAGAACATGTTTGCAAGAACACACACACATACACACACACACGCGCGCGCTCCTCCCCTGCAGAACCCTGCTCATCGACGTGGGCCTCTCCTGACCTCGATAATTACCCTCTTGGCACTTGCATAGAAATAAAAAGCTATGAGCGAGCTCTGGTGGCCTAGTGGCAAGAAGCTGCATTGCAATCTCAGAGGTACACGGTTCGAATCCACCAGATGCTCTGCTGGAGAAGGAAGAACAATCTACTCCTGTATCAGTCAGATCTGATTCGACGGTACACACAAAAAATAATGAAATAAAATAAAATAAAATTTTTAAAAAAAGAAATAAAAAGCTCTGGACTACCAAGGAGGTTCTTGTAGCTCAGGTCTGAGAGTGGAGGGCACCCTGGCAAGAGGTGACCATGTTCCCTCCCGAGAGCCGCGAAGGGGCAGCGCGGGGCAGGCACCCACGAGCTGTCCCCCACACGAGGGCCAGTAACGCCATCACAGCGGGCAGTGTAAGACCTCAGAAGAGTAGGGGTGAACACGCATTTCCTGCAGTTGCGGCCAGGATGCAGCCCCAGAGAACACGAGCAGAGAAGTCACCCCAGTGCAGGCTGGGTCTGCAGAGCACCCCTCTTCTGTTCCTGGACGTGACATGCACCCCAGTGAGGGATTCCACGGTGATGTGTCTGGGTCCAGCAGAGCCACGAGTGAGCCACGGCTGCCCCGGGGATGTGGGTGAGAGGAGGCGAGTAGAGGCAGAGAGGCAAGGGAAGGAAGTGGTCCAGGCTGCCCTCCTCGCACAGTATCCCCTGGGCGCCAACAGCCTCATCTGGCTGTGGGAACAGCAGCAGTGCATGATGGGAGGGACAGGACTCCAGGATAAAGAGCTGTCCTCCTCCACATGTCGTGGTCAGGCCCCTCAAGGGTCACGGAGTCCAGAGACGAAGACAGGAGAGCCTTCACCCTTATCCACAGGGATGGACGGAGAATTATCCAGAGAGGCTGGGATGCAGAGGCCACGTGACCACTCCTGCTCCCACTGGGCCCATCCTGGACGAAAAGAATCTTAAGCAAAGCCCAGCCCTGGCTCAGAAGCTTTAACACGAGGAGGTGGCATCTGCTCAGATGCACCATCTCCTTGGCACGCTCGCTCCGCGGGCAGCTGGGCTTCAGGCCACAACTAGTTAACTCGCGGGGGGCTGGCGAAGCGGAGCCCCGGCGCGGGCTGGCTGCCTTCACTCAGCACGGTAATCGGCACACATCTGCAGACAGGAAATCCCCCGCGCGGCGAGTTCCCAGTCTATTATCTGAGACACCTGGTGTGGGTGGCTGATTCAGAGACAAACAATGAGAGGGGGGGCCCCCCTGCGCAGCAATTAACGGCCTTACCAGCTCATATGATTAATCCCCCTCGTGGAGATCAAGGCTGCACAGGACGACTCGCTTCTCATCCCTCCATTCTGTGTCCTCGTCCCTCACGGCGGTGGCCTTCTGCCTGGCACCGCTCTGTGTCCCACAGGCCCCGTGCAAACACTTGCATGCATGTGCTTGGGGGTGGCACACAGGGGGTCCTTCCCACCTCTGTTTCTAAAGGACTCAAGTTGGCCGCCCTGCTCGCTCTGGACTGGGAAGCTGGGCTGGAGGAGGCAGGCCGCGTGCCAGCTGGGCAGCATCTGGCCGTTCTGGCCGTGAGCCCTCGGGAGCAGCTCATCCTTTATTGCAAGTGAAAATAATGCCTGGATAAAGGCTGATCGGTGCAGCCAGCAGCAGACATTCCTGGGTCCACGACTGGGAAGTGGCTCTGCGTGTTTACAAAACTTGGAAACCTGGGCCCGGAAGTGCACAGCGGAGTCAGCACTTGTCCCAGCAGCCCCCCCCCCCCAGCCCACCGCCACCCGGCAGCGCTCTGGGAGCAAAGGTCAGAGGCCACGGGCGCCGGAGCGCCCCCACAACAGCGTAAATCACGTAAATCACGCTGGCTGGGGATACGCTTTCTGAAAACAAAAATGCTCCGACTGACTCCAAGAGGGGGACAGTGGTACTTGGGCCTTAATATGTGTATGTGAGTGTATGTGTGTGTGTGTGTGCATGCGTGTGCATGCAGTGGCACTTGGGCCTCAGGAGAGAGCAGAGTGAGAAAGAGAGAGAGAGAGACAGACAGAGAGAGAGAGAATGTGTGTGTATACACAACCACTCAGTCCCTGACTCTCTAGTCACCAGGGTGGGTGGGTGGAGTGTGGAGAGACATTGGGGGACCCATTAGGGAGCACTTCCCCTCAATGGCTGGAATGGAGTCTAGGAGAATAAACACCCACTTGCTTTGGTGACGCAGTCCACAAGGTGCTGCACTACTAATCTGAAAGCGTGACCCTCAATCGTGGTTCAGATCCACCAGCTGCTCCACTGGAAAAAGGGGGGCAATCTCCTCCCGCGGGGTGCACAGCCTCTACTAACCTGCTGGAGGGTCGGCCACGAGCCCATTCCAGCTCAGCACCAGTGAGGTGGAGACACTCGCTTCCACGCCGCTCCCTCTCACACCACCACTAAAGGGTAACGTTTGACTGAGTGTATTTCTCGTGGTAACATCAATTTTAAGTCAAGATGCACAGAATTCACTCCAGGCCACCTATGGCCTTTCCCGTCTTATGGAACCTGTTTTCTGTCCACAGAGTGAAGCCTCCACACAATGCAGGGAAATAGATTAGCTTCTCCAGAAACACACTTACTAGCACAGCTCTGCCCTCCTGTCATGTCCAAGGATGCTGCACTCACCAAGTCATGACAAACATCAAGAACCAGCTGGACGTACCCCGCTGCACCGTGCGCTGGACGTACCCGGCTGCACCGTGTGCTGGACGTACCCGGCTGCACCGTGTGCTGGCTGGTTCCCGGCTGCACCGTGTGCTGGCTGGTTCCCGGCTGCACCGTGTGCTGGCTGGTTCCCGGCTGCACCGTGTGCTGGCTGGTTCCCGGCTGCACCGTGTGCTGGCCAGGGCAGACGGCTCTTTACACTGGTATTATTCACTCAGTACCAGTAAAGGAATGGATTCCTTTGAGCTGTGGTGTTGGAGAAGAGCACTAAATAGCCCATGGACAGGCAAAAGGACAAACTAGTTATGTCTTGGAGAAAGTGCAGCCAGGGCAGGGCGTTCCTTGGAGGTAAGGATGATGAAGCTCTGTCTCACATACTTTGGTCATGTTGCTTGGAGGGGTCAGTCCTTGGAAAAGGACATCATGCTTGGAAAGGTGGTGGGCCAGCCAAAGAAAGGAAGACCCTCAATGAGACAGACTGACACAGTGACTATAAGAAAAGGCTCTTAAAAAAAAAAGAAAAGAAAGGGCTCATCATATAGGGAGCTCTGGTGGCCTAGTGGCAGAAAGCTGCAAATGTAAACCCAGAGGTGAGCGCTTCGAATCCACCAGATGCTCTACTGGAGAAGGAGGGACAATTGCCTCCTGTACCAGTCAGATCTGATTTGACCATACACACACAAAATAATAAAAAAAATTTAAAAAAAGAAAGGCCTCAAGAGGACAGCACAGGATAGGACAGAGTTCAGATCCATTGTTCACAGGGTCGCTATGAGTCACAGTTGACAGAGTGAAGAACAACCACCGTTCCAGGTGACAGGGCCACCACAGTGAGAAAGCAGGACCATAACAGCTCCAACTTTGAATGTATAACTGACAGAGTTAGGAGCCCAGGTCACAGCCTGGGTGGAGATATCTGAGCAGGTAACTCACTGATGTGGGACCCGTAGTGCACCGACGGCCATGCCCCGGGCACACAGAGGGCAGGGGTGGAGTGGGCATCTGGGCCCCTCTCTATGAGGATGGACTGGGTAGGATGACCTTTTTGCTGATTCTCCTCCCCAGAGCTCAGGGTACCCCTCCCAGCCTCATCTGTCTGCCAAGGCCTGGATCCCGCAGTGTCCCCTCTGGCTGTGCCAAGCCCCACCTTCCTCCTCAAGGGGCCAGTGACTTAGACTGCAGATTCAGGGCACAGAGGAGCCCCAGTCCTGGAGTCACCCCTCACTTTTGGGTGGTAGCTGGCTCTCCTCATCTTCCCTAGACATGGGCTTTATAAATATGTGAGGCGTGGACACTGAAGACTGGTTAGCGAGACTGTCACCTCTGTCCTGCAGAGCCACAGCCAGCTGCCCGAAGTACCAGATACTGAAGGAAGCTGCTTGTAATTTACAAAGCGGGGTCACCTGACACACAACAACATGACAACAGCTAGTGTTGCAGCCGAACTGTAACCAAAAGCAGATCTCATCTGCTCAAGAGAAATTTTGCTGCCCCTGTTGCACGCCATCACTGATTCACTGTTGCTCCTCCAGCAGCTTTTAAATCACACGGATGGAGCCTGCCCATCCCTCCCTCTCCCACAGAGCAGCTGGTGGATTTGAACCACATACCTTTGTGATTGCAACTCAGCTTCTAAGCAATAGGCCACCGTTCCAGATTCCCCAAGAGAAACCCACCTACTTGAAACCTAGTGGGGGACGCATAGGTCTTACGTGACCGACCTTCATAAGTGATCTAGCTAAAGCAATGCGAAGCCAGGAGGACCAAGAATGAGCCTAACTGTCTATTTTCCGGATGCTCAGGCCTCTCTGACGCGTGCTTTCAAAATCAGGCCAGATCACAAACACAGCAGCCTGGCATGCAGGTGGGGGTACTGGGGGATCCTGCGTGTAGGGGGCTAACTCTCCTGAGAGTCAGTATATGGGGGAGACCCTCACTGCTACCAGGAAGGAAAAGATGACCCTGTCCCCCCCAAGATTTGAGATAGACACGTGGGTGTCATGCGGCACCACTCACCAATGGCCCACAGGACAGTGTTGAAGATGTCTGTGTCCTCTCTGCCGGAGGCCCGGTCCTCCCAGGTCACCTGGAGATGGCCGTCGGGGAGCCTCTTGACCCCCAAGGGTACGCAGCCTCTCAGGAAATGTGTGCCGTGAGATGTCATGTGCTCCGTGACCAAGGAAGACATTTGCTGCCGGCACAAGAGAGCAAGTGAGACATGCACAGAGAGCCAGTGCGTCCCAGGCATGACAGTGCCAGATCAGGGCTGCCAGGGGTCTGCTGGGAGGTGCCTCCCGCCTGCCCAGTGGGGGGCCTTGTCCAAGTTCTCCTCATCCAGGACCCACTTTTCCTCTACAGCTGGACACACTGGCCCCTCTTGGCACCACATCTGTCCCTGCACACCATGGCCAGGATTCACACGGTGTTATGGACTCAACCGCGCCTCCCACCAATATGGTTTTTAATGGTTTCATACAATATTTATCCTTGTGGGACTGAGATAGTTCACTCAGCATAAGGCTCTCCAGTCCCTCCCAAGTTAGGCAACAATTTACAAAGTCATTGCTCCTGCGTGCTGCGTAGAACTCCATTGTGTGAATGTATCATACTTTCTCAATCCATTTGTTTGTGGTTGGATAATCTGGGCTGTTTCCATGTTCTTGCAATAGTGAATAATGGTGCTGTGAACACTGATGTACAAATCTCCATTTGTGCCCCAGTTCTTGTTTTCTCAGGGTATACTCCAAGCAGTGGAACAGCTGGGTCATATGGACTTTCTATGTTCGGCTTTTTGAGGAAACACCAAACTGCCTTCCAGAATGGTTGTGCCAATCCGCCAACGTGTCTTAAACGTCAACGGCTATCTCTAGCTGGTCTTCCTCTTGCTCATTGACCCTCCACGCTTGCTCGCATGATGTCTCTCTCCATCCCAACAACACGCCCAGGGTATGTGAGACACACCTTTGCCGTCTTGGCCGCTAAGGAGCAGGATAGGTGGACGACACAGTGACCACACAGTCGTGAGGTCAAGGGTGTCAGAGGTGATGAGGACAGTCTGGGACTGGGCAGGGTTCAGATCTGTGCTTCACACTTGACTCAAAGGCACCTGACAACAGCCACACCATCTCTAGCCAACATCATGGGCCCATCACTGTTGTGGTGGCCGATCGTCAAGCTGGAATCAACCCGTAGCTGACCCGCCGCGGGTTTTCAGACGCAGTAAACCACACGGGAAGACACTGCTCATCTTTCTCCTGCAGAGCTTCTGGTGGATCCGAACTGCATACCTTTGCATTGGAGGTGCAATTCCTTATCAATAAGCCACCAGAATTTGCTCTGGAAACCCTACTGAATCTATATTCTATTAGAATCCGCTCAGGCAACGGGTTTATCAGCTGCAGAGAAGCACCTCTTCTCTGCTGATTCCAGGCTGGCCAGACACAGCTGTGTCCTGTGTCCCCACTGGCCCTGCTTGTCCAGAGCTGTCACTGTGCCCATTTGTGTGGCCAGGTTCCTTCCTCAGTCACCAGGTGGCCCCCTGCCTCTGCCCTCATTGTGGATGGCGGGGAGGTCAGGGTGGGGTCCTGGGGCCGGGCTGGGGAGTAAGACACCCAGCTGGAGCAGCCGGAGGCCTGGTGGGCCCACGGCCTCTTCTCGCAGGAGAAAATAAACAGTAGCCGTTTAAGTCCTCTCAGGAGCAAACAGCTGACATTTGCACAGGTGTGTCGGCCTGTCCTGGCAGCCTGGGAGCACCTGTCTGCGATCGAGGGCCCGGAGGCCTCCCTCAGGAAGGCCAGCCCTGACCTGCGTCGGCCCTCGTCCTGGTGGGAGCAGTTCATCCTTCTATAGCCTTCTGGAGCCTTCCAAGCTTAAAGAGTCTAGCCTAATCTGCATTTAAACTACCAAGCCTGCATGGGCCGCGTAGAGATTCTGGTCACCCCGGTCCTGCTTGGGCCATGTGGTCTGGGCCTGTGTGCCAGAACCATGCATCCATGCCACCCTGTGAGACACGCCCACACCACCCCCCTGAAGTCCTGATCCCTGAGCCACGTCCCATGGCCACATCTTCCCCCGGGCACATGCCCTGCCCTCGGCTCTCCCTGCCTCACTCTCTGGTGATCTCATGAGGACATAGATCATCTACAGGCCTCCAGCTGCCCTGGTGGTCTCAGCCAGGGCCACTCATTCCGTGGAGGCCCGAGGGTCTGGATCTCCCGGCCACAGGTCCATTATGGGGGTCTCTCTGCACCCTCTGGTCAATGTGTGGAACAGGGGGGACAGCTCAGCACTGCAGATTCTCCCAAACACCAGACCTACGCCCACCAGATGCCAGCCTTGGACCCTGGCTCCAGCTCCCCACCCGCGCTGCCACCCACAGCAGGGTGAAGTCAGGGACCCCACCCCGCACCCACCAAAAGGTATTTTGCCAGGACTTTGGCCTCTACAGCTCTCAAATCTCATCCCTGTCCAATGCATGACTTCCCGGCCATGCCTGTCTCTGCCCACGTGCTCTCCCCGGACAACGGCAGGCCCAGACGCTTCCCTGGACCACTGCGGCCCCCACGGGTTCTCTGCTCCAGGCCCATGCACTCTGGCATTTGGTTTGAGCTCCATTCTGGGCCTGTTCCTACGGACACCATGCCCAGCCCATGCTCACACTGAGTCTGGGAAAGGGCGGGAAGTACACACCGCTTGGCGGCAGGGCCCACCGGGCAGCAGTACCTGGTCGAAGCCACGCAGGGGGATGCTTCGCATCATCAACGTGGTGTCCAGGCCCAAGCCGGAGAGGAAGCCGGCACATTCGAGGGCGACGTCTGTGGCCGGTGGTTAAGGAAGGAGAGTGTGACCGCGAAGCAGAAGGGTCAGCCGCAGGCCCTCAGGAGGCTGCTGGTCCTCAGGTAGCCAGCCCCAGGAGAAAATTCCCAGGGGAAGCAAGACACGGAAGCCCGCTCACTCTCCCACCCACGTTTCAGGCTGGCCCTGGAGGCAGCGGCTCCGTCAGCTCAACAGAGGCGGCTCCTTTCAGGCCCGTGGGGCTGTGGCCTGGCAGTTTAACCTGACGAGGGTTTGCATGGTGACAGAGACTCACCAGCTGGGGCTCCCGGGGAAGAAGCAGCCATCCCTGACAGATAGGAGGCAGCTGCCGGTGGCCTGTACTCAGCAAACCTTCCACCCCCTCAGCCCCAGCCCCACCCCGATCCACATTCTCTCTGAACAATGCAGCCTGCGTCCAGCCGCCTGTGTGAGCCCATCTCTCCCAGTGTTAGTCCCAGGAGATGTGTCCAGGAAGTCCCAGCCACAGAAGGTCAGCACCGAGTGGTCCCTGGGGCAGAGGTCACCACCCCGAGTGACCCCTGAGTGCCGAGGTCCAGGAGGCAAGCGACCTGCTCTACAAAGGTGAGGGGCTGGAGGCATGACCCCTGCTCCCAGGAAGCAAGAATTGCAGCCTGTCACCCCCATGCCAGAAAGGATACAGCTGGCCCCGACCACCAACCTGCGATAGAAGCAGAAAGCAGAGTGAATGTCCAGGCATGGCCACAGTGCTAGGAGGAGCAGCTGGCGTGGGGGACCCTGGCCCTGGAGCCCACGGGCAGCGCTGTCAGCTCAGTAGATGGAAAGGTCTAGAACTCTCTACCGCAAGGCTCTGTAGACCACGTGCCACTGAGGCGGGAGAACTACAGACTTTTGCTCTGACAGCCTAGCCCGGGTCACTCTGGGCCTCTTGGGCCAGGCTGGCAGCAGGGGACAGGTCACAGAATAGCAAGCTTGTGCCTGGGGGGTGGGGAGGAACCCACTGTCTGTGGGCAGAATGTACTCGGACTACAGGGCCAGGCTGGGAGGCCCACACGTGCCTGAGCAGTCTTGTCATGTGGTGCCAGGCCCCTCAGAGCTCACTGGATTAAAGGAGTCAGGGTCAAGGGCACTCATAGCAGACGGGACACCGAGACCAGCAGAGGCGTCTGAAAGATTCCCTGGGAGCCCAAGATCACTCTTGTTTCTCAACTCCACACTCTCTATACAGACAGACAGACATGTGTGCAAACACAGATCACGTGTACACACACAGATCACGTGTACTCTTATATGTACATGCACACACATGCACTCACGGATCATGCACTTATGCATATATGTGCACATACAAATCACACACTCATGTATGTACGTGTGCACACACAAGTATACACACGTGCACACACAGACCATGCACTTATATATATGCACGCGTGCACAGATCACACACTCTTATATATACATGTGTACACAAAGACACATGCACTCTTATATGCACATGTGCACACACAAGTATACACGTACACAGATCACGTACTCCTATATGTACATGTGCACACACACACGATGCAGATCATGCATGCTTATATGCACATGTGCACACACTATAAGCACACACATGCACGGATCATGCCCCCTTATGTGTACATGTACACACACCAGCACATACACGTGCATGTACAGACCATGCACTCTTATATGTACATGTGCACACACAGACCAGGCACTCTTATGTGTCCATGTGCACACATTTGCATACACACAAGCACATGCACACAAACCTGCAGATGTACACATGATACACACACATATACACACGAGAAATACACACAAGTAAAGGCATACACACACTAACGTACATGAGAGCACATAAAACACATATGCACATCCATACGCAGATAAGAACACATACACAAGAACAGAAATACACACACATGAGCTTGCATGGGTTCACACACACACACACACACATGCACGCACAGAACAGCACCCCCAGCTCAGGCATGTGGGTGGGCTCGGCGGCTCACCCCTCAGCCTTTGAACAAGAGGAGGTGCTGGAAAGGCGGCTAAGCCCGGTGTCAGCGTTAATCCCGGCAGGTACTAATGATATAATTCCATTTCAAAAAGCGGCGTATCCTTTGGAACACTCCTACAGGGGCCCTGCAGGAAGCAACCAGTGCGAAGAAGCTTCCTCGGGGGAGCCAGGGAGGACAGAGCCACACGAGTTGCTGCTGTCTGGACGAGTGGAGGGAGCTGTGGCTGCAGGATGTGAGGTGGGCCCAGACCAGCCCGTGCCAGCTGGCTCTGCAGACCAGAGGGGCAAGGGACACCGCCACAGTGCCATGGACGGACACACACGCACACACACACTCTCTCTCTCCTGCATATACAAGACATATCTCTATACACAGGCTCCCCAGTGTGGCATGACCACCGAAGGTTGGTGGTTCAAGCTCACTCTGGGCACCCCAGAAGCCAGGCCCAGCTCTCTGCTTTGAGAACACTACAGAGTGATTCCACCCTGCACACACTTGGTCACAACTCAACAGCAACTAACAATGATGACATTTAGGGACTTTTCCAAAATTACAACACCTCGACGCTTTTGAACTTGATGTTTTGGAAATGCACGTCTTCCTTTGAGCTATGAAATTAGGAGATACTTAAAGAGAACCCAGGGCAGAATTTAGCTGCTGTGGACATCCTGCCCTAAATGCAAAAATGGAACTGGTGTCGAGCTTTGATGCCAATCACAGGGGCCCTCTGCTCGGGCTCCTGCCATGGGCCCTGGAGCAAGTGCTAAGGGGCAGCACGGATGTCTCTTCCCCTGGCCAGCCGAGCCACCTCCTTGTCATACGGCCCTCCTGTCTCTGTGAAGCAGATACTGTCATGCGAAAAGCACCAGTGCCCTGTCCACAAGGGTTGTCACTGCCTCCACCTGCAAGCTGGGGACAAGCTGGACCAAGGAGCTTCTCAAGGCTTCCTGTGGACGCTGCTAAGGATGCAGCAATTCTGCCTCCTTATTTTGGGGAAAGAATAAAAAAAAAAAACAAACCAAAACCCCTCCTATTTTGGCAGACCACATGCCCAGCCTCCTGCAGTGGTGCTGGCTGGGGATGAGGGGAGGAGGACAAGCAAGTGAGGTCAGCTCTGTCCTGGCCTCTGCTCTCCGGACCCTTTCAGAGGGGAGGGCAGGGGTGTGCGGTGGACATGTTCTCAGTGGGAAAGTGGATGTTTCCTCACCGGATGGTCTGGGACTTCCTTTCCTCTTTGTGAACAAGGGCAGCAATGGGGCTGGTTTGTATTCGGTTCTCGTCCTTAACTTTAGGACAGGAGAACTCAGCCAGCAACGTCCCTTCAAACGGGCTGGAGGAAGAACGCGCCGGAGCAGGCTGGAAGCAGTCAGAGTCCCGGAGAGCGGGTGCCATGCTGGAGCCTTGAGCCAGTGCCCTGGCAGGCCTTTGGTTGGAAGAGAGACCTAGAGGGGGCCCTGTGGGGGCCGCTACAGGAGCTCCAAGGCCCATGTGGCCAGGGATGGTTAGGGGTGGCTGTGAGGGCGGGGTCAGCTCCTCAACTAGGGAGAAGCGTCACCAGTCAAGGCCTCGCCTGGACATCTGAGGGCAGAAATCACCGGACATAGAAGGGCCCTGGAGTGACTTAGTCTTCACAACGCTGGGAGGCACGCCACTCACTCTCCAGCCCTCAAGTCCATTTTAAATGGACTCTGGGCAGCTTCCCTCTGAGGGTGTGAACGTGACAATGAGCCAGGGAACAGAGGGCCGGTCCAAGCTTTCTCCTCAAACGTGAAGGAGGAAGACGCCTTCGCTCAGGCCCAGAAGCCCAGGCTCGGAGATCCCTATGTGCCTCTCAAGAGGATGGATGCCTTCATCCCTGTTCCTGCTGCGTGGGGGCATCCACCTCAAAGTGCCGTTCCAGGAGAGCCGGGGCCCTGGCAGGGCCTGCTGTGCAGGGACAGACATGTGACCGGCTTGGGGACGTGAGTGGCAGACCTGAGGATAGGGGACTGGGCACGGGCTGCCACTTCAAACACGGAGACCCAGCAGAAAGTGGGGCAAGAATAACAGTGGCCACGGGCACCCATCTGTGGGTCTTCACCGTGTGGGGTACAGTTTAACATATTTCTCTTGCACGTGGGAATAGGTGGCTTCTGGCTTTATAACAAGGGTTAAAAAAATGTTCTTTTGCTTTTTCAAGGAGAGGAGCGAACAGGGGCTGGGGGGGTGGGAGTGGGGTCGGCGGGGAGAAAAGTGCAACAATGAATGAATGGAAATCCAAAATCTCTGTAGATGTTCATTGAAATAAATAAAAATAAAAAATTTTTAAAAAACCCTAAAAACGTTCCTTCCAGGGCAGCTCTGACAGGCAGCGTGAAATCAGCTCAGTTTACACAAATACCCTCCCTGCCTTCTCTTCCCCTCCCTGCTGGAATCTTCACAGAGCGGGGTGGGGGGACTGCAGGGTGGGCCGGGGGGTCCCTGAGGCTGTGGAGAGGCGGGCTCGCTCTCAGCCAGGGGAAGCAGCAGTCAGAAGCAGGCCCAGCCATGCTGTTTGCCATGAACACTATCTCCTGGGAGGCAGGAGTGCAGGGCAACCACGAGGGGCACACGGCTCTGAGCGCAGCCCCCGCTGCTACGGGGCAGGCGGCTATGCTGGGGCTGACCTGGACACTCAGAGCCCGCGTCCGCGACCTGACCGCTGGGCAGGGAAAATGCAGAAAAGGTGACTGTCCCCTCGGGGGCCCAGGGACCCCTGGTGCATAGTGACCTAGATTTCTCACTGTCTGATACCCGAACCCTGAAATGTGGCATGAGAGGGGCTCAGGCTTGTGGATACATATGAACTAGAGGCAAGAGCTCTGGTGGCTTAGTGGTAAGGAATTGCACTGCCAAGGCAAAGGTAAGTGGTTCGAATCCACTGGCTGCTCTGAGGGAGAAAGACAGGCAGTGTCCTCTGCTGTGATTTACCGACTCTGAAAACCTCCTGCTACGGATTGGTTCTCACTCAATAGACTTCAACAGTAAGAAGTAAGGGGATCTCTGGCCTGGGATGGACAAGCTGGGAGGTCTTACCTGAGTCCTGCAGAGACCAGGGAAGCTGCATGGCCACCAGAGCCTCGGCCCCCTCCACCAGCCTCAGCTACACTAGGTCCCTTCCGCCTCACCTTCAGCCACGCTGGGCCCTCCTCTGACCCCCCCCGAGCCTTGACCATGCCAGGCCCTCATCTACTGTGAACCTCGATTACTTCCCCCCTGCAGGGTCCAGCCTACTGCAGTGCCCACATTGATCATTTTCCCCCAACTGTTCCTGCCTGGGGTCCCCCTCTCCCATATCCCTCAGTCTTCCCCACTCTCCCACCGGTCTTGGGATTCCCCGGAAAAATAAGGAAATATGAACAATGGAAGAGACACAGCCAGTGGTGGAGGCCCCCTAGGTGCTGTACCCCAGAGCTGGCTCCAGACACCCACTGCCTCAAGCCAGGGGGTCTTCACATTTGACCCATCTCTGTGGGGTTCTGAACTGGGGCGCTCGGTTGGTGCTGGCCCCAGTTGCCAGTTCCCCGTATGCAATGAGGAACACGGATTAACTGTCCCCCGTGCCGCTGTCTCTGCTGTCTGTCTAGGCTCCCTGCTCCTCCCAAGACCTGACCACCAGGAAAGGGTGAGAGGGTCTTCAAATGCC